AGACGACATCTCTGGAAGTCTGCTGCTGATGTTTCGCCAGTGATAGGTGGCATAGGTGCCAGGCTTGGCACTCCATCCATCGACGTGGCTACCTTCGACGCTAAGGAGCGGCGTGGCACTGGTTGAGGCGTGGAGCTGGCATAGGTGTGTCGATCTTCCCCTGCGATGCAGTAAGAGTATGTGGTGCCGGCTGAGGCTTGTCAATCTCCATCTGCAAATAGGGATTTGCGAATAGCTTAATAATGGGGTGTTAGACACTGGTTAATAAGGCAGAGGGATAAGCATATAAGTGTATTGCCTGTCAAGTCATTGTGGTACACAAATGTAGGGAAGCAGTGCGGGTATAAGGCAGTCGTTGAAAGGTTATTTAGTTATCTGCTATGGGAGATAGAGGGACATTTGCGTATGGCAAAGGGCATAGCTTTACAATCGACCGAGTGGGGATGCCGGTTTTGGTGCGTACGTCAACTACGCGAATATGTCCATCTGGACCGGGATGGGTCGCTTCGATGCGTCCAAGACGCCACTCAGTGGGCGGCAACGTATCATCTATAATTAGGACGCATTCTCCAGCTTTCGGTGAAACTTTAGTGTCTTTCCACCTATAACGTTTCTGAAGGTCTTTGAGATAATCTTCCTTCCAACGGCGGCTGAATTTATGGTGCATAACTTTAACCCTTTCCCACCTATTGAGAAGAGACAAATTGCTATGGTCTACTGCCGGGAGAGACAAGAGGGCAGTTCCCCTTAGGAAATGGCCAGGGGTGAGGGCCGTGAATTGCGTAGGATCTTGGGAGAGAGCGGAGATGGGCCGAGAATTTAATACCGCTTCGATCCTAACTAAAAGAGTGGCGAATTCTTCGAACGTGAATTTGTGTGCTCCAGCCGTTCGTTTGAGATGTAACTTGAAGCTTTTCACGGCGGATTCCCATAATCCGCCCATGTGAGGGCTGCCAGGGGGATAAATCTCCAATCAATGCCTTGGGGAGAGTATTGCTTGACGATGTCTTGAGATACTTCTTGCAGGAAACTACAGAATTCCTTCTCTGTTGCTCTTTTGGCTCCAATGAAAGTAGAGCCATTGTCGCTCATCATTCTTGCTGGATAGCCTCGACGCCCAACAAACCGGGCAAACGCGGCGAGAAATGCGTTCGTGGTCAAATCGGAGCACAGCTCAAGGTGAACCGCCTTTGTAGTGAAACACACAAATACGGCCACGTAGCCTTTCACAATGGTGGAGGACCTTAGCATGGAGGCTTTTACTTGAAAAGGCCCAGCAAAATCTACACCGGTGGTGGTGAAAGGCGGAGCGTAAGTGCAACGCTCTGGTGGCAACGCCGCCATGATTTGAGAGCGCGTTTGATGCTTGTGGGCGGTGCATGCTTTACATTGAAAAATGCACTTTTTTATAAGAGGCTGGAGTCGGGGGGATGTAGAATTCCTGTCTTATCATTTGCTGCATGATGTAGGAGGAGCTCGTGGAGAAAACGAAGATAAAGAACAGCAAATCGAGATTTTTCGGGTATAATGAGGGGATGACGTTCATTATAGCTAAGAGTGGAGTGGGCCAAACGACCATTGACCCGGAGTAACCCACACTTGTCTAGAAAGGGGTTGAGACCTAGCAATGGGCTTTTCTTAGCAATTGGCACTGACTGGGATAAGCATGTAATTTCGCGGGGGAAGTAACGGTTTTGCGTTAAGGCAATGAGACGACGTTTGCTAGAGCGGAAATCTTTGTGCGATAGGGATAATGGGAGAGGATCCTGGGCGGCTTGATTTCGGTTCTTTAAGCGATCTAAAAATTTGAAGACATATGCCATAACTTTAAGCATGCGGGAAAAAGACGAAAAGCGATCTAAAATGTCGGTATCATCTTCGGCAGTGTGTGTGGTTAATAGAGTGCGTAGCGGATTTTGGCCAGGTGTCGGGTGGTTGGGTTAGCCAGTTGGG